TTTTCGCTGCTTTCATCTGCGCCGCCTCGAGTTCTTTCACTACCTTCTTATTTCCTTCCCATACTTCTCCGGCGTACTCTAGCGGCGGTACGATTACGCTCTTCAAAACCGTCAATTTGATGCGTGTATCGAGGTGCCGGTTTGCGAGTATTGGGTGCAGTTTCCCTGCTCGTGCTTTGCCCTTTTCCGCTACCTTGGGGGGGAGATTGGGGGGGGGAAAGCAAAACTATAAAAATGCTTGATACGAACGAGGCTAAATGTGCTAGCCTGATGAGGGCGCGAGGGACACAGTCGGTGGAATATAATTCACTGCAACTATTCTAAGCGAGCTTCACTTCGAGACAGGTCACTCAACAACATGATCGTTTACCCCCGTCAAGCCAATCTCAGAAGGCATTGACACTCTCAGCACCATACATATACAGCACATCGTGCCATGCAGAGGCCAAAGGGTTTCGCAGCAACGATCACCCACCAACAAAAGACTCCGGTTGTTGGTATGCTCGTCTTTCTAACAGACACCGCACAGGCCCCTTAACCACCCTTTCGTCCATGTGCACATTGACTTGTCAGTCTACATGACTGCGGTCAGAGGTTCAGAGGCTTGTACATGTATTGCTGCAGCACACCCGTTGTGCCTCACAAAAGGGCATCCTGCCATCGATAAAGCCGCTCCGTTCAGGCGGCCCCTACTATTTGTTTACGGCCCGAGATCTATGGGCCACCACCATCTCCTTTCTTCACGATACAAACAACGAGGCAGGCCTCCGACGCGGCAACATCCGTGCGACCTAAACCAGGGAAATTGAGGGACACGACGGAATGAGTCGCCTTCTGCCTTCTCCACATCCACCCACCGCCTACGCTACACACATGTATCACTCCCCAGCAGCAAAAACGGAGCTCTCTTGATGGCATCCAGTATCTAGCCGAGGTGGGACGGCGCTTCTACAGGGCTTCCCGAAATGTTGCTGTATTAGTCTATGTACCGTGCCGACAGGCACACAAAGGATGGACCTTGCCGAACAGACCATCTCTGTAAGTCCTTGTCATTGTTTTCCCCTTACACACCGTCAATCCCCCCGCCTTACCCCAGAACCCTGTTGTTCTCTTGTGCTGCTGGTGGGCTTCTGCTGTGTATGAGATGTGCTGGGTAATCGTGTGAGCAGTGAGCAGTAGTACCGAGACATCGTATAGGCGGGGCTGTTATGGACCTCTTCTAGGTACAGACCTCTGCGCGCTGGCTCTATATGCGGTGGAACCTGTCATCAACGTGGTTCGTGGGGCGTTTTGCATCCGACGGGGTTGGTCCTCATGTAACCCCTGCCAGCTGTACCCTCGGTACCCTGTACCTTGCCTGTGGCCTCGTTCCTCTGTAAAGGTTTGGCACAGCAAGGGATGTGGCGTGCGCCCATCATGTGTCTATCCGTGAATATTGTTGCTGCATTCACATGGTGGCTCTGTTTTGAGGTTGATGCATACGCATTTTGTCCAACGACGGCAAAGGCGCAGGCACGGGCCGGGCGCTACACTTCATGTACATCATCATCGTTGTACCGCCGGCGCGAAGAGTACGTGGCGCCTCTCGACATGAGCTCCAAGGAGGAGCAAGAAAGGGCCAGTGAGAATAAGTACCTGTCGGTGACAAAACTCTCGAGAGAACAGGTGTGGGTTCGAGATTTGTCTATCCACAGCAGCAGTACAACTGCACCCTACGCGAAAAAGACACCTTTGTCAAACCTGTTTCTTCGAAGACAAAAATGCTACTGCTGTTGGACACTCGAACGGGATCATGTTGTTGTTGTTGTTCTTGTTTCTCTCCCATCATTGGACTCTGTCGTCTGCCCCTCTGGCCCCTATCCTCCACTTCTACCAGCTAGACGACCCAACCGGGGTCACATAGGAGGGGGGTGTTGGACCGCCTCCAGCGGTTCCTGCCTGAGATATTTCTATCTCGAGAAGGGTGCGGCAATCCCTTCCCTCGCGACTTATGGAGTCGATCAATGTGATCATGCGGGACTCCGGGCTGCACGCCGGGCGATGCGGAACCACGGGCAAGAAATCGAGGAAACACCGGCTTTCAGCATTTTAAATTCAGCTCACCCAAGCGCGGTATCAGCAAATCACGGTAGACCATGTTATCTACAGCAGCATCATGTACAAGAATACCAGCAGGCATGGTCTGGAATCAAGACGGCTTGGGAGGCGCTTTGGTGCTGACCTGAATGGCTTCGAAACCCAAGAACACCGTGACAAACGTGATGTGTTTCCTGCGCTGCGAAGAGATGCTCACAATACGTAGCTCCCACTGACACGTCTACCTGTGACGGCAGTGACCGCTTTCGTGTCCGTAGGCCAGGTACACATGACTCTATGTAGCCACTCGCGAGCGACGCGAGACAGGTTTGAAACCGGGCCCCAATTTTCCTGCTGCTGTGCAGTGACTTGTCACGACCCGTTCCATACATTCCAGCTGTCAAAGTGTTCTTAATCGAGCGGTCTTGGATCTCAGAAGCAAGCATTTGTCCTGCGGAAAGACCGCGAGCATTAATCCACATACCGATACACGTGGACTGAAGCTACAGACAGTTGGGAGCCCAACCGATGCGTTCCCCGGTTTTCTTGGATTGAATTGTGACATGTTTTCGTCCGACATGTTCTAGGTGCCGGTCTACATCTTTCGGCACATTGTTTTGACGCACCAACCGGGGTCACACAGGCGGGAGGTAAAGTCTGTAAACATCCTACATTAAACAACATGTGCTGTTTTCTCAAACCCCCTGCGGTGCTCGCCTTCAAGAAGGGTTCGATAGTATCTTCCACCTCTTGTTGTGTGTACTCATGACACTGCGCTGCTTTCCACTTGTGATTGCTAGATTGTCAGAGAGGCCCAAACCAATGGCCTAGAGTTAAAGGGTTGTGCAGACAGCAATGAGGGGTTGTTTCACAGCCGTCCTCCCTCTCCTAGGTGCGTGGTGTGTGTCAGTTTGAGCCGCTTCCGGGACCGTTTTGGAACTGTACTCATCCCACGATAAGCAGCTCGTACTCCGGGCTAGGCACTGCTGTGTAGCGCTGCATGAACGTTCCGATGCTAGGTTGTGGGTTCGAGCCTCCCAGGAGAGGACACCACATACCCGTGAATACGCAAATAGTTTTGGAAGCGTCGTAGAAGGAAACATGGGAAGAGGTTGAGAAAACTCCTGCTTTGGATGTTCTCCTGCATGACGCCGGCGGATGCGGGATCCCATACAGCAGCATCCAATTCATTTCCTATTCCTTGATGGTTCTTGGCCAAATGTTTTCAGACCAAAACGCCGGTCTGATGCCAGGTTGTCGTTTGATGGCTCTGTGGGCTACACTACATTAGCTGATACAGTCTCGGCAATCGTTGTGTTGTGGTCGCAGGTGCTTTTTGGCGGCTTGGCAGCATGCTTTGGGTCTGCGTACCTTGGCGCAAGCCAGGACCAAACTTCCTATCGCGCTCGTAAACGAGATCTGTTCAGGAGTATCGCCGGCGGTGGTGAGAACGAATTCAGGTGATCCATTCTGCGCTCAGCTTTTGTGAGCCAAGCAGCCGCTGAACACACCTTCTGTGACATCGGGCGTGTACCTGATGTTCCAATAACCGTGTGTCTTGTTACTTACACATGTCACGGATTGTCGTAAAACTACGACGCGCGCCTCCTTGCGAAGAATATGCATCTTAATCACAGACTCGAGGTAAAAGAACACTGTTAGGGGTGCCAATCGGTCAAATTTCCTATAGGAAAAAATTTCGAAAAGTGTCCTGGATCTTCCGGATGGAAAAGCGCTCGAGCCAAAAAAATCACATCGAACGTTCCGAAGAACCCCGCCAGAACCAAAAAACACCTGACGCCCCGCGAGCGCGAAGCGTGTGTGAACGCGTTCCGCCGTGCCGTGGAGGTTGCACACGGCACCCTAGCGGCACCCTAGCGCCGTCCGCAACCTAGCAAACATGCCTGGTGGCTCACTCGAACAGCCGCCGGGCGGTGGGACCGCGCGGACTCCTCCTGCTGGAGGAAGCAGTGCTCCTCCTGCTGCTGGCGAAAAAAACAGCAGCAGCGAGTAAGCACCCATCATCTACGCCCACCGCCTCCGCCTTCGCCTTGTCTCGTTCAGCCTCTTGCTTCCTCCGCTCTGCCTCTTGCTGCGACCGCTCTGCCTCTGCTCTCTTAGCCTTCTCCTCCTTTAGCGCCTCGGTGCTCTCGCGCGCGAGCTCCTGAGCCATGCTGCACTCAGCGGTGCTTGCCGCCTCGCGCTGTTTACTTTCGACCAACTCATGCTCCTTTTCTGTCAGCGCTTTCTGTGCGGCGGCAACACCGCCCCTTTCGACCGCACGCCGTGTGTTTGACGCTGCGCAGGCGGCGTACACAGACTGCCCCGACGCCTGTTCGTACTTGGCTTGGTTTTTCCTGAGGTTCTTCGCGGCTCGCCTGCTGCCGCCACCAAAAACGCGCCTCTCTTTTTTTTGGTTACGTTTTTTTTGCTGCTGTGCTTCCCTGACAGGCGCTGCAGGAGACCCGCTTGGAAGACCATTTTCAGACATGTAGATCTCGCTGTTGACTTGAGCGATTCCAGTTCGGTCTTTTGTGTTGTGTGGTCTAACTCCCAAGGTGGTGCACTGCAAGCTCGCTTTCTCAAGAAAGTCAGAGGCGGCCTCGGGCATTGGCCATACAGCTGAAATTTGTAGGTTTTTCTGGGTTGTTCATCCGCCCTATAAACTTGAGCATAAACCGAGCTTGCAGTGTCCTCTATTGGACTTGTGTCCAGATGTGTGCAACGTATGAAGAGCCACGTCGCTGCCTGGACGCAGAGCTACTTATACAAAGTACGGAGGATAAAGTATACTTTGATTGGTATGATTCAAGAGCTGACTTGAGAACCAAAAAGTCCGCGTGCCCCCCTTTTTTTCTCAAAATCCTCGAATAGACCGGTCACTTTTTTGCCGCCAAAATCGCCCCGATTGGCACCCCTAACTGTAGCGTGGGCCGCGACCGTGGTATACCCGACGAAAGGAGACGTTAAGGTTTTCAGCTCCCCGCGTGTTCAAGATGGGGAAAGTATAGCCGACAACCGTTTTCCCCAATGGAAGTATTCATGCCTCGCGGAGGAATTCCCTACCGCTTTTGGCATGAAACGACTGCAAAAGCACAAGGAATCATTAGAGCGTTCCTCCCTTGTGCTTCACGCTTGGTCTCGAGTAGCTGGAAAGGGTTGATTCACACGGTGTTGTTCTGGTGTCGGAGGCTGCGTGTTGTTTCCCTCGCCATCAAGGCTGGACAGTAGCTCTTGTGCATCATTGGCCGCTAACATATTCGCGATTCGACGTTTCCTGCGTCTGATTGCTCACCTGGGGATGGCATATCAAGAGATATCCTGGAGGTTGGGGTCGGAGGAAACCCTAAGGTGGGCGGCTTCAACAACTTGGAGTTCTACCGCCGTGGGCAGCGAATAAGTAAGTGAGGTATATTGCACGCCCTCGAAGCTTTTGCTGTGAAACATCTTGGAGTGCATGCCAGTTGAGCACTTCAAGAATGTCCCAGAATAACCGCTGCTGTTGTGTTTCGAGTAGCTGCGGTATGTTGTCGAGCAGTGCCGCGCGACGCGAGCCGCAACGTCTGAGGCGTGTATCGACCAAGCAAGTTAGCATCTACGGGTGCAACAGCCAACAACCCGCCATGTTTAAAGGCACCTTCGTCAGAAGCTTGAAAACATTATGCTGCCTAAGCTGCACGTATTATCCTGCCAAAACCCACGACCGACGCGTCGTTTTTCGAGTATAAGCTATCCCCTCAAAAAACCTTCACAGATTTTGTTACATTCGGTCGAGCGTGAAAGCTTGGCGCCAGATCAATCGGCAAACCCGGTCTGCCCTCCCTCGGCGGCCGTGCGCATCTTCTTGCGCTCTTGCTTGTCTCCGGGAGATTCGTCTGTTCGCACGTCTCGAAGACTTGAGTTCCCGGTGCGGTATTCAACTGTTGCTCATACTCCGCCTGGATCCGACAGTTTTTCATCGTGTTTTCGGCAAGATGCAGCAAAAGAGATAGTATTCTCCATCCCGGCTCTATTTTCGCTTAAGCGGGCATCTCTATCCAGCTACGTCCCTCCGTTCTCCCCGTTGCACCCCCCCACCAGTTGGAGTTGATCCCACTCTGTCGGGCGAACCTTCGCAGGCTCTTGAGCGGGCGACCGAAAAGGCGCAAAAGCTCGGACTCACTCTGCGAGGAGTGGGAGGGATTGCTGAGGAGTTGCCGTTCGAAACAGGCTCCTTCGACGCGGTGGTATCAACGCTCGTGTTTTGCTCCGTTCGCGACCCCGCGGCGGCTCTGCGAGAGGTTGGTCGTCCGTTCAGTTTGCCTTGGATGCCCTTGAGCGTAGTGCAGCATTCTTCTTGAGTGTTTCGGGTGGGGGCGCTCTACGCACGGTGCGCCGGCAACTGCGTCCGTTGTAGTTGTCCAGCTACATGGCAACCAAGCAAGTATTCGCCCTGCTCTACTGGTGTGCGGCAGTGAATGTTTTCGCTGCTGCTCTGTGTCGTGGCGAAAGCGTGCCTCCGTTTTTGTGTCAATGAACATGTGGTTGATGTGGTGGGCGTGCTGGCGCTTCTGTGTGCATAACGTTGTGTCGCTTGCGCCTTTCCACTATTTTGATGGTTGCCAGTTGTGTACGTGCCTTGATGGTGAACCAGTCTTGGTTCGAGGTAAGTTGCTCGAGGCGTAAACGCACCCGAGGCGTTGAGTCGACGTTGCGAGGCGCACTTAGCCACGATTTAGCTTTTGTCATTTGAAAACACTTTTCGCCGTGATACCTCACGATAAGAAAAGCCGCTGTGCCACTCCGCCCGGGTGTCGGCCGAGTCCATCAACTGTACGTCTATATATCTCTACCCGACGGAAACCAAGGCAGTTAAGTATTCCAGAGGATTGTTACGGGGTCATCGGTAAGATTTGGAGGTGGCCATGTCATTTGGCAGACCCGTCTGGCAAAACATGTTGCGGATTCCGGTGGTATTGGCTTCGGTTCGTGTGTAGACTCAACTGTTTTGCAACTTCTCGCTTGCCTCCCTCGGCAGGTATCAAGGGTGCTCCGCCCAGGAGGAAAATTCCTCTTTGTCGAGGTGAGAACTCTGTTGGAGGGATGTAGCTTACTTTTGGTCTGTGGCTGTTGCTGGTGGTTAGGGTTTCGGTGACTTCATTTATACACGTGATAGGTTTTATGGTTGTAGGCCATCCCGTGTGAAATCGGAACATGTACGCACCTAATAGCGCGTAGCCCGATGCAGGTGGTGTGCACGCGCGCGTGGCTCGAAGAAGTTGCAGCTTCATTCGGTCAGGCGCCGCAAGCCCATGATTTTCAATGGTCGAACATTGACACTATTTAGCCAGTTGTTCGGAACACTGAAGCGGGGATCGACTGTTCCGTGCGGCGTGCATTCCGCACGGAAGTCCCGATTGCCGTGACCTGCAGCGTCAGCTATTATGATGCCAGAGCAACAAACACGACTCCCGAGCACGGCTCCTGAAGGCTCACCCTGCCTCATCTCTTCCTGCCGCAACTTCCAACGGTTCGGCGTTGTGCTGTCCGTGTGCTCATAGCATGTCCATGCGCCGGACGAAGGCTTGTCGATTCTAGGCCTTCGGCAACAGCAAGAGTTGTTAGATCCCCTGCAGCAACTCCTGGCCGACGGGTGCCATCTCACGCGCGAGACTGACCAACTCATCAGAGACTCAGCTGGCGAATCTCCGTCAAGGTAGAGTCGGGGGGCAGTGGAGTACTTCAAGGGTTTGCGCGTCACGACAACAAATCCCGCGTTGGGGCTTTTGCGGGCGAGTGAGCTTGCCCGGCAAACCATTCTTGAATATCATGAAGGTATTGCCACGAAGTAGCTGCCGTCCGGAAAACAAGCGTACCTTCCCGAAGTTTGTGGCTTGGTTTTGAAAGATGGGTCCGACCTACGACCCACGATACGTGAGAACGGCTGCTTGCCTTGAGTGGTATCGATAGATTTGTAACACCGCATGACGCTATTGAAGGTATATCTTCCCACGTCAACTTGTTCGAGCGAAGAAGCCAGACGTCTCTCATGATGCTCATATTGATCGCCAGAAGGACGTTGTGCTCAGGTGAGGGTAGTGAAGCTGCGACTAACATTGACTCTTCCCCCCCCCACCCGTCCTAACGTGCATGTGCCGCGCTCACAATGAAAATCCACCTCGGAAAGGAATCGGCTATTCTCGCGAATAGAAACCATTGAGAGCGTACGGATAAAGAGCATGTGGCCTGTCTCCGAGCAGGTATTCGGGGTGGTGGTGAAGTGAACCATGAACAATCCCAGGGCGCTTGAACGAGTCTCATAAGTTGTGTACTTTGAACAAAATCCGGATCAGGGTCGCGTCGTCGTGTGCCGTAGCTTCTGGCAAGTGTGTACAGAGCACCTTTTTTGTTACGCTGTGGGGTAGCCCAAACAGTACTCCAGCCGTCTGTCTGTGCCTGTAAGCGCCGGGCAGCGCCGCTTGCGTAGCCAGCAACGTGGCGTACGGATTCGGGGATGATTGCTCCAGCACATGCACTCCCAGCAAAAATGAACCACACGTTCTTTGGGGAACTGAGGGACCAACAAGGGGCGGGCACGTGTGTGCGAGTCTAGAAAACGACTTTTGCGTCCTTGCCTATGTCCTGCCACTGAACGCCACTGCGTGACATGTCAGGCACATCCATTGTCTAGTGAAGCACGCGCGGCTTTCGGTCGGGTGAGTGTTTGGGCGTGGTGAGCGGCAACGGAAGCGTTGAAGAGTAGTTTGCCGTTTTCACGCCCACATCCATACTGTAGCCATAGCACCTGCTGCTTCGATTTATTTGTTAGCATTGCCCCGCTTTTTGCTTGTTGTTTCTCTCTGCCGTACCGGGCGTATGTAGGGGAAAGCGGAAAACGCCGTTTGTTGCAACCCCTTGGAAAACAAGGGGTATTGCTGTGGATCTTGGCCTGGCCTGGTCTGGCCGTCATGAAGAATCAGCGGCTCTAAGTTGTTGTGAACACGTGAATCCGTCCTGGACACGCGTGGCGAAAATTCCTTTTGCTCAGACACAGCAGTTGGTCGTGCGTCTCCACCGAATGCTTGTGCTGGCAGGAGAGACTGATACCTCCCACAGTAGATTAACATCGTTAACCCTCATGACAACATGCGGAAAGATAGTGTATGATGTCAAGAGTTTCGTTCACGACAACTGCCGCCGCCGCGTCATAGGGTTTGTAGAGTAAGTGCATGAAAAACAATGGTGGGTGGGGCGTGTGGTGAAGTAACCGCCACCAGGCCAAATTGAACCAGATAGTTGTGTCTCAGGCCGCATGGATAAATAAGTTTGTAAGGCCGACGAAATCGCTTGGCACGGATTTCGCGCACCAAAAGTGCGATACCGGCCTACGGTTTCGCCCTCACGCCCACCCCCAGCAAGGCCGGTTTCTCGAAATGATGCACGCTGGTTCATCACCTTTTGCGTGTTCAGCGCCATCCTGATGGGCGCACGGAGTATTCGGCCGGGTAGCGTCGCACAGCAATGTTTCTCCACATTGTTCGCTGGTGTGTGGTCTCGTGCCCTCTAGGCGTGATCCACTCTAAGCGTCCGAATATTGAGTGTGGTCCTATCGGGAGAAAGGTTATACAGCATGTACGACTGAAACGCACAGGACAATCTAGAGACTACCAAACGAAGTACCGTTCTCAACAGCCCGTCGGTTCTTTGACCTTTACGGCGCACACTTGCAGCAACGGTAGGGCCCGCTCGTGCGCCTTGGCAGCGGCCACCATTGCCGCCGAAGGACTGGTGTTGCACTCCGTTGCCCCTGCAGACAAGCCCGTTGTCACCAGCCTATATGCACTTCCATCGGGAAAAAGCTTGCCTCCCGGAGGGAGAACCAGCGACGGCTGGGTCCTCTCTCCGACAACGCCATGGAGCCGTGAATGGTTGCCGCTGCTGCTGCTGTTGCCGGTCGGTACCGACCGCATCAGGAGCTGCGGGTTGGGGAACCCTCTCATGGTTCCGATCATGGCGTGCCGCAGTCGGAGACACCCCGGTGGCATCACTCCTGCTGCAACAGCTCGCTCCCGCTGCAGTTCGATGTCACTGATACTAAGACCAATTCCGGCTGCCGCTACTTTATCTGGAACCGAGGCGGGAGCCCACGGTTCCCCCCCTCCGGCTGCTAGTCGGCTGACGTTGCCAACATTTCCTTCACCTCTCTCTCCACCAACACGTTTCCGATTCGCTTGTTCATGCAGCCGACCCGAGGTGGCTGTTGTCCTCGGCATCACGGCTTCTGCTTCTGGGCACATGGTACAACCGTTCTGCCGCTGCGTGGCAACGAATTCCGCGAGAAGCGAAGCCTGGGGCAAGCGTTCACGGAGTTCGTCGACTAACCCTTCGTAACTGACGTCTGTTCCCGCGCGAGATGATATACCTGGGAACGATGAAACCGTGGAAATCTCTGCTGCAGACGTTGCGACTGCACGAGAAGATTTATTTTCACTCTCTGTCGGACGTGCGCGCCTGTGTCTCCCCATGCGATCTCGCCACTCGCCTGCTAATTGGTCGTTTACCTTCCAGCCGCGTTTGCGACAAGTTTGGGCTCCGATTTCGCTATTTGATTCTGCTCGTGCCCTTACGCTTGGCATCGTGCACACGCTATTGTTGCTCTCCTCGGCAGACAAGCAAGTGCCATTGGTGCTGTTGGTGCCGTTGGCCGAAACAATCCCACCCTCGGCAGATAGCACGCGGTGGTGAAGGACCTCGTTGGCAACGTCATGATCCGCGCTCGCTTGTCCACGTAGGTGCGGTCCTCTGATTTGGGGTTAGCCATGGCCAGAGCAGAATAGGAACGGCATTCAATTTCACGGGCAAGGAACGATCGTTATCGGTGGTTTAAAAAATGTGGGACACTCGCCGGGATTGACTTTGCTCATGAATCTGAGCGTAAACCCTTCCTTGTGGTGTGTGAAACAAGTAGAATAAACGAAATAGTCCTGCCCCAACAATCGGGCCTCACTGTTATGAAACTCCGAGAGAATGTTGAACGGTGATTAGATAGCTGAGCATACTCATCTTGCCAACCCCATCTTGTTGTGCTGCCCATCTTGTTGTGCTGCCCATCTTGTTGTTCTCAGGAAACTACTGCTGTGTTCAACACGTGAAGTGCATTCGAGCACTGCTGTATGAATGGTATCCAATGTGTATGTAGAAAGGGCAAACAAAACAACCTTCCGCCTTCCGCTTTTGGGAGTCCCAACAAAACCTACTGTACTTCGAAGTATGTACCAGTGGAAGACAAACAGTACGGTAGTAGCAGCGATATGCGCGTTGCCACGCTCGGGTCGAATCTGTTGCTGAGCCGGGCTGCCGGCTAAGGCTGTACAGCGGCGGTCCCAAAACTCCGCGAATTTCGGTCCATAGCATTCACGATCCACTGCTGTACGCGCCCTCACAGACTCAACCTCCTGAACTTTGCTCATAGCTGTTGTACAGTAGTCGTACAGCAGTAAGATGTAGTCTGCGCCGCCGACGCACGCTTTGTATACAGAATCTCGACGCATTTCCTCCTTGGAAGGCTCTCTTCCTGTCTGTGTGAGTTCCAACTGAGAGACGCAGACCATATTCGGCGGAAATATATTTACCTTCCGTAAGAGCGCCCTAACTGAGCCTTGAGGGCCTGGCGTAGCAATCGCGCTCGATAGGAGTCCTTCTGCGTCAGGCTTCCTTTCCCATAAACGAGTCCACCCAGCGAGCTGATCACAATAGCTGGCGCTGTTGTCGCGGCCGCAGCAAGGTGAGAGGGTCGGAGAACGCAAGGAATATTCAATTTTTTTTTTGTCAAGCTGATCTTCAACCAAATTTTCTTGCATGCGCTCTCACACACACCTGTGCGCTCACTGTCGTCTGTCCACATGGAGAAATCAAAGGCATTGGCCGGAGTACAAGGAAAACCTCCAGACCACAGAGGGTTGCCCTCTCTCTCTCTGTCTCTGTCTCGCTCTCTCTCTGTCTCTCGTCTCGAATTCCTCTCCCTTCGCTCTGGTGCGGCGCAACAGCGACCGTTTCGTGTGGGAATTCTTGTTACTCTGTGACACTGAAACAATCTACTCTGTACCTCGGTTGCCCTCTTTCCACCCTGTGCTCCTGATCCTGTCATCCAAACGGACGGAGAGCTTTATGGGGAAGGGGGTGACATAACTGAGGCCTAACTGAGCTTGGATCACCCGTGAAAAGTTGGAATCTCTCGCTTTGAGTCATCCGTTCGTACTCCAACAAGGATCACCCCAGGGTACGAATGGCTACTCTTCATAGGCTGGCAAGGATGGACGGGTTGGACGTTGACGAAGAAGATACAGGTGCCTACGACCGGGTATCCGTGACCCCTAAACGTGTAGTCCTAAACCACTGTCATCGTGCAAGTTCGTCGGTGCAGCAAGAAGAATAATGCCTTGAGATGTAGAACCACGTATTGTAGTAGCACGGCGTGGAGAGTACACGTACGTAGTGCACACCGGTCAATGTACATTGCTGTACTGACCAAGCCATGGTCTTGGTCGGTAGGGTGCGACACGATACAAGCACCGATCCCAACACGTGGGTGAAGTAAATGGACGCCGAGAGGTTGATGATTGCCAATGGCAGTCATCGGCATTCTATTCCCTTGGACATCTAGACCACAAGGTCCAACAGAACACTCACACTTTGGTATCCTGCAAACTCGACTGCATATTATATCCCATGACGTTTTTTGTGTGCACGCAGACGACGGATCCATTGATCAAACCATACCTTCCTCTTCAAGGCCCCTCTTCAGCTTGAATGAAGGCATCGGGAACCTCAGACGAGAGAACATTGGACCAGCAACCAGGCCAGCCGACGTGTCGTTTGCTGACAGCGAGGAGAGCATGAGAACATCTGCCAGGTGGCAAACACAACGTGCTGACGAGCTACAACCTCGCGGTCCGACCGAAGACGCCCTGCCAGAGGCCGACCTTGGCCACGAACCGGTGCTGCATGAAGCAAAATTCAACGACCACAAAAACGCCCGGGCCATCCTCACCAGCGGGGAAAACGGCTCTGGCGACACAGGCAGAAATACCCTAGGCAACCTCCGCAACACGTTCCCCGTTACCAGGAGGGCAGCAACGCCACCACCCGGGTATCGGCCGTGGGGGTCTTCTGTCTCCTATTCTTCCTCAAAACGTTACCCAATGGATACCTTGGAGAGGAGAGGGTTTGCGAGCAACACCCGCGATTCTAGCCGCGGGACAGCAAGAGGGGACGGGGCGAGCCTGTCTTCGAAGCGGGCACAGGAGGAAGCTGCCCGAGAGCGAGAGAAGCGCGAGGTGTGCGAGGAACAGGCGAGAGCGGCATGCGCGTCTCTGGAGGCCGAATCAAAACGGTGGGCGAGTGGCGCTGTTACTTATACACCCCCCATTCGCAATCTGCCGTATTTCATTTTCAACCTGTTCTTCCTGTGTCAGTCCAAGTAGTACTCTTGACAGGATACAAATCCACATACATGTTGACCTCCTTCTTGATTCCCAAATCGCCAATCCGGGAAGAGATATCACAGCTGTGCCGCGTCCTACTTTAACTACACCAAATGCCTTGTGTGTACACCCGCTGCCGGTACCAGGGACTATCGAATGGTTTGACGAGGTTGTTCTCAACCAACTTGTTTCTGCCCGTTGAAGGCAAAAGCATATGGGGCTATCCTTAAATGCATGTCGGTTGTTTTTCCACACCTATTGAAACGAAAGGCAAAAAAATGCCACATAAATCGTATGTCCTCCGTGCTTGGCACTGCTTCTCATATCCCCTTCATTCGCGTTGTGTCCATCCAGTGCGCGAGAACTCGACAATCGTGTACGAGGTGCCGACATACTGCTGACTGGAAATGGCCACGGTGGTAGAGAGGGGGAAGGCAGCGGGAGGGGAGCTGCCGGCGGTCTTTTTGGCGGCTTTTCGTGGAACTCCCATAACCGGGACAGGAAGACCCGCAGCCTCTCTCCTGATCGCAATGGGGCGAGCAGATATCGGGCGGTCGAAGCCGCTGAAGAAGCCGAGACACACATGGCCGTTATCGCTGACGCCACTGAGAAGGTGCGTTCTTGCACACCTCGACAAGGCCTCGTCTTGCACCCGTTCAAACACTTTCGGTATCAGTAACCTGCGATGTGGTGACATCTTCTCACAAGATCCTGCTCATGACACGTCGTGAACATCTGACACCAGACGGTGCGAAACCGATAGAAAGAGGCTGTCCGCAGCCCAACGAGCTTTGTCCTGGCATTTCAACGTCGGGGTCACACACGCCTTCAAATATCGGGTTTTAGCTAACACCCTAACCAATCTGGTTGACGTCTCCTCGGCACGGTCGGTACGAGAGGTTCCTACGACATGTAAGTAGGGGGCCGTCAGGTACAGAATCAAGAAATCACGTTCATGACCCAGGAGCACGCATGTTTTACAAATTTTCATGGCGCTGGCGAAATGCTGTGTCCTCAGATCGTGAATACGGACCTACGAAATCGAATGAGTATGTTGTTAACTCTGACCGCCTCCGCAACCAATCGCGTCAACATTCGCGGAATTCCAGGCGAGGGAGGAGGCCCAATCTGCCCTGGAGACTGTAGAGGCCTTTGCCGCTCTCAACCGAAAGCTAGTAGATGAGCTGAGGTGAGGGGTTTCAATACGGCGCCGACTTGCCAACACCGACGGCTTTCACTATCATTAGTACTGATGGTCGTCGATTCTTCGAGCGTGTAGTGTACCGAATACGGCAGCGGACGAAGTATTGCTGTATACGACGGCTCTCAATCCGTGGAAGAGAGCGTAAACGGTGATACCGTATGTAGCGAAGCGATAACCTTTCCACCTCTAGCTGACCCCCGGTAAGGCGAGCTCCAACAAGATGGATAGCTTCCGTAAGATACGGATGGTGGGCACTTGCGAAGTTTTGCGATTTGCCGCCCAACTCGAACCTTCCGAGTCGCCATTTGCTCGGTTTCGTTTCAATACCAACGCCTATTCCTGAGATTGAACAATGCAAATCAATTTTCTCCTGGCATACTGCTTGCGGTGGCAGAATGAGGACATGAGCCTGCTTGTGAGACGCAGTATTCCATACAAACGCGCATCGGCCCATTGATCTGCGTATCTCATGGTTAATTGGTCAACCAACACCGAAGCCGCCCCTGAACGTCCTCAGCTAGATATCCGACTCCCTCCCCTCTCCTCCCCTCTCCTATGCCTTCCTCTACTTCACAGAACCACTGTTTGTGCTCGAGACGAGCTCCTGGGGGACTTGAGGAATGAGAGAAGGATCCGAGAACAGCTAGAACACGACATCGAGGAGCTTCTGGGAAGCGGACTGGTCGCCGAGTTCAAACTCAGAGAAGAAGAGCTTAAGGCGAGAGTGACTTAAAATCGCTCGCGTACCATAGAGGCCTCGTGGAAAGTTGG